ATGCTGCTCTCGCTGATGCGCCGGCCTCATTTTCGGGCCCCGCTCGTTCCGAATCGTGCTCTCGCTGCAGCGCTGGCTTCATTTCCGTGCTTCCCGGGCCGATTCCGGCGTGCTTCCGCTCGTTCCGAATCGTGCTCCCGCTGCAGCGCTGGCCTCATTTCCGCGTTTCCGCTCGTTTCGACTCGCGCTCCCGCTGCAGCGCTGGCGTCATGTCCCGTGCCATGCCACGGCATGCAATGCAATGCTAGGTTGATACTACGCTTCGCGGTGCTTTTCTACGCCATGCCACGCCGTGCTCTACAATGCATCGCGTACCCTTTCGGGATCATCGCCCTGCTTGACATCCGACTGTGCAAGTAGAGAAGGGATCTGCGCCATGGTAAGGGATGGGAGGGAGGGGTAGGATGTCAGATATGACGCGAGCGCACCTAGCTTGCCTGCCCCCCCCTCCCCTCTCCCCCCTTCTCTCTCCTGTCCCCCCCCCCTCTCTCCTGAGAGCTGGCAAGGTGGGGGGAGGTGCCGAGCACATAATTCGTCAGGTAATTAATTCGGTCGCACCCCCCCCCTCCCTGGCAGGGTGAGGGGAGGTGCCGAGGACATAATTCGTCAGGTACTCACGTCCTCCCCTCCCTCTCAAGCAGAGCTACAGCTCATGCTGAAGTAGAGCTTCAGCGTAGACTTCGTAAATTCACACGCTGGATATATATATATATATATATATACAAGACCGCATTGGCGCTGCGCGCCGCGCACCTTGGTCCTTTGAGTTCTGCACGCAAGCGGAAACCGTGCGTGCGTACATGCGCGCATGCATGTATACACGTGCGCGTGCATGCACGTTCCGTATGTGTGTATATACTTACATATGTAAAGATACCTTTATGCGTGTAAGGGTATGAACATGCATATGCAACTCGTACGGGGCATCCTCGGGCATCTTCGCTGCATGCCACGAGACTCTCAACGACTGGTTCACACTGTGAAGTGTCATGGGAGCAATATCGATGAATGCTGGCATTCGGAAGCATCGTGGGGGTACTTTCTGGGCCCACGTGGGCCGTTTTGGCGCCTTCATGGGCCGTCCTGGGGCCTTCGTGGGCAGTCTTGGGGAGTTCGGGCCCGCTGGAGCCCCCTTTGGACCCATCTTGGACACTTCCGGAGATCTCTCATGGCCCTTTTGGGTCTGTGCTGGTTGCCCTTGGGGTGCCTGTTGGTTCCATTATGGACTGTCTTGGGGCTCTCGTGGGCGATCGTGGGGCCCGGCTCGCCCGTCTTGAAGCTTTCTTGGGGGCCTTTTGGGGCGTCTGGAGGCGATCTGGGGGGCTTTGAAACCGTCTTGAAAACTGATGAAATCCGAAAGGCGAGTATCCAAAAATTGTTAGTTTTACGAAGGGAATGGGACTTTTCTTGTGCTTTGAAGGCCCTTTGGAAAGCTTTGTGGGGTGCCTTGGGGGTCTTTTGGGTCGTCCTGACGAAATTGGAGTCCCTCTTGGAGCGCTCTTGTGCTGTCTGGGGCCTCCGTTGAGCCTTTATGATGACCCCTCGGATCGCTCTGGGTCTGCTGGCAAGGCATTTGTGGAGACCTGGAAAACCGGGTGACCTTTTCCAAGGACGTCCAAGGGAGCCCGAGAACCCCAGATCCCGGAGATCCAGTTTTTTTTTGGGGGGGGTCCCACCCTGTGCTTGTAAAAATTATCCCGGCAAAGCAACCTAACAGCGATGTGTAGGAGCATATCTGGAAGCATTCCCCTTAAGATTCAGATGAGAATCCAGTTGTAGAATTCTGCTGTTCTCGCAGTCGTAGTCGCATTCGCGATGACAGTCGCAGTGGCAACGGCAGTCGCAGTCACAGCCTCAGCCTCAGCCTGCCTCAGCCTCAGCCTCAGCCTGCCTCAGCCTCAGCCTGCCTCAGCCTCAGCCTCAGCCTGCTTCAGCCTCAGCCTCAGTCTGCCTTCAGCCTCGGCCTCAGCCTCAGCCTGCCTCAGCCTCAGCCTGCATCAGCCTCAGCCTCAGCCTCAGCCTGCCTCAGCATCAGCCTGCCTCAGCCTCAGCCTCAGCCTGCCTCAGCCTCAGCCTCAGCCTGCTTCAGCCTCAGCCTCAGTCTGCCTTCAGCCTCGGCCTCAGCCTCAGCCTGCCTCATCCTCAACCTGCCTCAGCCTCAGCATCAGCCTGCCTCAGCATTCAAAATGTGGCCCGGGAATGGAGTTCTGGGAACTCGAAGAACACGAAGTGGCCTACAGTTGGCTCCGGGCATTCAAAATCATGCCCAGGAATGGAGTTCTGGGAACTCGAAGACCACGAAGTGGCCTACAGTTGGCTCCGGGCATCCAAAATGTGGCCCGGGAATGGAGTTCTCGAAGAGCACGAAGTGGCTTACAGTTGGCTCCGGGCATCCAAAATGTGGCCCGGGAATGGAGTTCTGGGAAGTCGAAGAGCACGAAGTGGCCTACAGTTGGCTCCGGGCATTCAAAATGTGGCCCGGGAATGGAGTTCTGGGAGCGCCAAGAGTGATTTGGGGAGGATGTCCCAAGCGATTTCGGCTTCGGCGGCAGCCGCCCCGGGTCCCGCCCCGACCCCCCTGAGGAGTCATGATGTTCTTTCTTTTGACACCACTAGAAACCTATCAGTCTTCGCTGTTAGGTCATATACGAGGAGGCATATATGTTTCTCTCGTGTTCTCTCTCTCTCTCTCTCTTTTCTTTCTTTCTTTCTCTCTCTCTCTCTCTCTCTATATATATATATACACCCTAGATGGTGCTGCCAATTTGTAAAGAATGAGCTCTGGTCTCGCTCACGTGAGACCCTTGACCGCTGGTGTGTCAATTTCAGCCGAGTGCGGCAGTGCCGTCAACAATGTAGAAACGTTCAAGGATTGTTTGATATGTGTTTGTGCCTGGGTCGTGGCGGCTAGAAGCCAGAGTGAAAACCGAAATGCGTGCGACGCTCGCGTAACATGGTGTCTCTGGGATGTTTGGAGCTAGCCCTCCTGGGTTACGCCCCGATCGGCCTCGGTCCCCCTCTCGCGCCACCTCTCGCCCTTCCACATCCGTAGACTCCCGGTTTTGGAGGCGGCAGGGCGCTCCCATCATACTCGGTGGTGCTCCTCGCTGAGGCGGGGGGTTGCTCGGGAGTGGCTCGCGGGGAGGGCGGGGTGAGGGGCCGTGAGGGGAGTAGCCGGGGCTTCTTGCGCTCGGCTAGCTTAACAAATCTTATGGCCGAGCAAAACGGGAAAAAAAACTTAGCCCAGTCTGCGATCGGCTCCGCCACCCCCGCCAGCCCAAACATACGAACGTTTACGGTAAATGTTTGGCCCAGGGGGTGAAGCGGATGATCGCATCTCGGCCGTTCGAAGCTCGCGTGGCAGCTGTTTCGGCCCGCTTCCCCGCGTGAAATACCTTAAAGACGCCATGTGTAAGGCTCGCAGGAGCTCGTCCTCCTGGGTTACACCCCGATCGGCCTCGGCCCCCCTTTCGCGCCACCCCCGCTGACCCCGCCGCCCCGTTCGGCCCAGTCTGCGATCGGTCCCGCCACCCCTGACAACCAAAACATGTGTATAATGTATATCTGTATGTATGTATATATACATGTGTGTATGTCTCTCTCTCTCTCTATATATAGATGTATACACATTTATATATATATATATGCATATATATATGCATATATATGCATATATATATATATATACATATACAGATATAACCGAAAAAAAAGATTTCGCCCTCTGCCGCTGGCCACCTGTCTCGGATAATGGGGCATGCAAGACCTATGTTGTGAGGACTCGGGGCCGTCGTGAAGCGGCGTCGGAACTCCGAACGGGGGTCACTTGAAATATCCAAGGGCAGATTGTGTAATTTACGAGGGGCTTTGCCTCGGAGACGCGAATATTGCTTCATCTACGGGGAAGTATGGTCTCGGGAGCGCGAAACACTGCAATTTGTGAGGGTGTATGACTTCGGGGACGCGAGTATTGAACAATCTACCATGGTTTATGGCCTCGGGGGCGCGAGTATGGTGTAATGTATGCAGGATCCTAGTTTCGGGGACAGGAGTCTCATGTACTTGTATGTGTCCCAGGGTCTCCCAGAAATTTTGAGACCCCCCCGGGTGCACGTAACCGGGGCCCTTTTCGGCTTCCCCCCCCCTTCGCGCGGACTTCAGCAATTCACAGTAGGAAGCGAAGCAGCGAATTCTAAGATCGGATAGTGGAAACTGGAAGTGCAGGAGGGAACAGCAAGCCTCATCCGTGGAGCCTCATTGGCTCATAGACCCACAAGGGAGCGGGCGGATCTATCTTTATCTGTTTTTTTGCTACTGTATGTCTTTCTCTCTCTCTTTGTCTCTCTCTCTCTCTCTCTATATATATATATATGTACACAGGTGAATACACAAGTAAGTACTTGCCCCCCCCCATCCTGGGACTCCGCCCGCTCCGCGACAATTGTTGCACATCCTTGGTACCACCCTCCCGGGCGCCCAAGAGAGCCCTGGGAGAGCCTGAAGACGGCCCCGGACGCCCCCGAGACAGCCCAAGAGTGCTCCAAGGCTGTCCATGTGCTCCAAAGCTGTCCAGGCTGGCCCCCCGGCGGGTCTGGAAGCCCCCAAGCGCACTCGAGATCGCCCCAAGGTAAATGACAAGCTGACTGTATAGGTGAATAAACAGAAACACATTAGCTGAGCACGTCCGCGGACGGTGTATCCCCCAACGCCGGACCCCCTCGCCGCAGTCCGCCGGACCCTCTCGAGGTGAGTTTTTCCGTGGGTGGCGATTTATGCAGCGCGCAGACGCGGAGGGGTGTGATTGAGGGCGGCCTTCTACTGAGGCGGGGTGCCTCCTCCAAGGCAGGGCCCTCCTTAGAGGGGCCCGGAGGCTGTGAGAATGCTTCAGGACGCCGGGAGAGCTTCGGAGAAGAGCCTTGCCTTCTTAGAAGCCCTTCCGCCTCCTCAGAAGGCCAATCCCCCCGCGCCTCGTTCGAGTAGGGGGGCGCTCGGATGCTCAGGTCGCCTCCGTGGGCAACACGCTCATGTTCAAGAAGATGACGTCAGCGATGCCCAATTACGGCTGGTACCTCACCCAGCTGTCCTCGGTGGTATACGTGCCAATTTTCGCCATGATTTCCATCAGCAGCGGTGAGGGCGCCGCCATGATACGCCCTGACAAGAGCTTGGTCCACAAGTTTGCTGTGATGGGGCTGTTTGACAGCCTCAGCGGTGTCCTCATGGTGCTCGGCGGTGTACACACCTCGGGAACGCTGCAGGTTCTGCTCCAGCAGGGCACGATCCCGATCACCATGATCTTCACCAGCCTCATCGCTGGCAAGCGCTACCACCTCCTTCAGTCAGTCGGCGCGGGCGTTATCGTAGCAGGCACGGTCCTCCGCCTCTTCCCCTCCCTCGCCTCCTACCCTGTCTGCCTCTCCCCGCTCTCCTCCCGCCCTCCTAGGCGGTGGAGAAAGCACCTTTCAGAATGGAAGCTGGAGCCCAGATGAGGTTATCTGGAGGCTTGGGGCCTTCTGGTTGACGGAGCCCGAGTTCTTCCAACTGCCCCTGGAGGGAGGGCGGCAGGTGGCTATTGTAGTGTCTTATTCGACACGAAGATCTACCTCGACTCTTGGATCTTGGTGTCTAGATGTTTTTTTCAGGAGGTGGATGCGGTCAGAAACTCCCGCCGTGCAATATGTAGTGCCGCCCCAGATCTTGACCCCCAGAGGTTCACCCTGCAGGGGCACCCCCGGGGAACGTCTGGGGACTCAAGAGACGCCTCTTGAGGCCTCCGGGTGCTCAGCAGCATACCCACAGCGTGCCATACAAGTAAACCAGCCCAAGTCATTATGTGCCTCGCGCGATCCCCAGCCGAAAACGCGATGCGGCATCCACATGAAGCACTGGAGAGCTCGGGGCCCGGTGGCCGTGGCACGAAGTCGCCAGCCGTCGAAGCTCGGCAGATCTGGGGAGCACCCGGGCCTCGGGGCCCGGCGGCCGCAGTTTTCGCGGGGTGTGCGAGGCGGGTCGGAGGCTTGTCCCGCAGATCTGGCATCCCCCGGCCTGTCGGGCGGGGAGCGCTGCAGGGGCTCTCCTCGAGGCTCGAGGGCAGACCCCCGGCATTCCCCTCCCATCTCGGCTCCTCCCCCTCCGCCAAGGCATAGCCATGGCGAAGCTGTGGGACAGCGGGCAGGGTGGCGAGGCCGGTTCCGCCCCCTTCGACGTCGTCGTTCTCCTTCTCCTCCTCATCCGCATCCTCCTTCTCTCTCTCTCCTCACCTTCCTCCTCCCTCATGCTTTCCCTCCGCCTCGCCATCCTTTCCCTCCGCATCCCCCTCCTTCATGCACCCCCTCCCCTTCCTGCCACCCCTATCCGTCCTCCTCTTTCCTCATGTTTCCTCCTCCTCCTCCTTCTCCTCCTTCCTCATCCCTCCTCCATTTCCTGGTCAACTTGCTTGGTCAACTTGCGTCTTGCGCCTCGTCCGATTCTTTCCTTCCGACATCTCCAGGTCCTCTTCCTGCCTCACGACGTCCCATTCCTACGATCCATACAGGTCCCTAGGCCCTAACATTGGTGGACAACTCTCAGATCTTTCTGGAAGCACCTCCAACCTTTCCTCCCCATCCCTTCCCCCTCTGTCCCACCTCCCGCTTCGTACTCCTCTTCTTCTTCCCTCCTCTTCACTTCAACTTCCTCCTCATCCGCCCCCTCCTCCTGCTCCCATGTCCTCCTCCCATTTCAACATCTGTTTCCCCCTTGCCACCATCTCCCTCCAATACTGTCTTACTCCGCCTCCTCTTTCTTCCCCTCCCTCGTCTCTCTTTCTCTCCCCCTTCCTCCTTGTCTTCTCCCTTACTCCGTAAAGCCTCCTAGAAACATTCAGTCCGCTAGACATTTGTTCCCAAACCGAACCCTCCTGTGTGTTGGGTCCCCCTTTTGAATAGAGCGCTGTGGTCTCCATCCTCTCTCTCTCCTCCTCCTCCTCCTCCTCCTCCTGCATCCTGTCTCCTCCTCTCTTCTCCTCCTGCCTCCTGCGTCACTGCCTCCATTGCTCGCACCTTCCCTACCCGGGGGCTGCGAAGTGCGCACCCGTCGCCACTTTCGTGGGCTCCTGGGAGGCACGGTGGAGCGCAGGGCAGCGCAGATCCCCTTGAGGCCTTGCGGCTTCCTCGGGGGCTGCGAAGTGCGCAATTGTCGCCAGTGTCGTCGCTGTCGTGGGCTCCTGGGAGGCACGGCGGAGTGCAGGGCAGAGCAGATCCATGCGAGACCTCGCGGCTCCCTCAGGGGGCTGCTAAGCGCGTAATTGTCGCCACGTTCGTGGGCTCCTGGGAAGCACGGCGGAGTGCAGGGCAGCGCAGATCCATTTGAGACCTCGCGGCTCCCTCGGAGGCTGCGAAGTGCGCATCGATTGCGACGTCGTGGGCTCCTGGGAGGCACGGCGGATTGCAGGGCAGCGCAGATCCATTTGGGACCGCGCGGCTCCCTCGGGGGCTGCGAAGTGCGCCGCTGTCATCTCTGTGGTGGGCTCCTGGGAGGCAAGCACGGCAAGGCGTCTGCAGTACTCCTGGATTGGTCGAAAGCGTTCGACAAGGTGGACCACTCCGCTCTACTAATCTCGTTGGCTTGCTTTGGAATCCCAGACCCCTACATTGACATGATCAGCGCCATCCCCCCCCCCCCCCTTTGTTCCCCACTGCTCATCACCCCCCTTTCAGCCTCCCTCCGCTGGAGAGCTTGCCAACGCCCCAGACTCCTGCCGGAGGAGCCTCTCCGAGCCCGTCTGCTCGCTGCGGGCCACCCCGCCGAGGGGAAAGGGGGACTCCACCGCGCAAAGGGCCGGCCGGGGAGGGAAGCAGGAGGAGGAGGAGGAGGACGAGGAGGAGGACGAGGAGGAGGAGGAGGAGGAGGAGGAGGAGGAGGAGGCACGACGGGGCGCAGGCCTCTTCCGAGAGCAGCCAGTGCTCTTCAGGCGTGGGGAGGACGCGAAGCGCGCTAGGCGGCCAACCCGCCAGGGAGGTATAGGTCTGAGGTGGATAGACCTCCTACCCTGACACGTCGATGAGGGAATTGGCCGTTTTCGGTTCGCGAGAGGGCGTCGCGGCCGTCATTTGTGCGGGTCCAGGTCCGTCGGTTTCGGTCCCAGGCCGTGGTTCATTTCTAATTATTCGAAGGTTCTTTTTTTTGGGGGGCAAGATCCTTTCATTTCTAATTGTTCTGTCCTGGGCCTCTTCCTGGCCACTGGGGGGCCAGGAACAATTAGAAACGAGCAGAATTAGAAATGAGCACGATTAGAACTGAACGACGTGTAGGGGCAAACGGCGGCAGCTTCTATGCCACTGGGCCCGTTGGCATCGCTGCGCCAAGCTCCAACCTGCAGGAAGGCGCCGGCAAGAAAGCCGGCACCGGGCGGAAGATGGGAGCGGTCATGGAGGCGATCGTGAATGCGTTGCCTCCTCGCTCCCACTCCCCCCCTCCTTCCGCATCGTCTTGGTCAACCCCCAATCCCCGCATTTCTGGGGGGAGGAGAGAGGATGAGGATGAAGAAAGAGGAGGAGGAGGGGGAGGAGGAGGAAAAGAAGGACGAGGAGCAGAACCAGCTGGAGGTGAGGGAGGAGAAGGAGGAGGAGGAGGAGGAGGGAGATGGAGGAGGAGGAGGAGGAGGAGGAGGAGGAGGAGGAGGAGGAGAAGGAGGGAGAGAAGGCGGAGGAGGACGAGGAGGAGGACCGAGGCAGCAGGAGGGAGGAAGAGGAGGATCGGAGCGGAGACGAGGACGGCGACGCCGAGTGCAGACACGGCGCCGCCGCCGCCGACTGCGACCCTTCGCGAGGCCGACGCCGACGTCGCCGTCTTCAACATGATCTTCTTCATGGCGGTTGTGCCGAGCGCCCTCTCGAATGTCTTCAAGGAGGCCGCGGGGGTTACGGGTTACGGTCAGGATCTTTTGGATAGCTTGTCGCTCCGCTGGTTCTGGCGCACCGCGCTTCGGTGCAACACGCTATCCACTTCTCAGCCCCGGGGCTCCAACGTCCCGAGCAAGAGTTGCTGATCGTGGGGGCACACTGGCAGGCGTCGACGCCACGAGCAGGTCGAGACCCCTCAGATCCTGGCGTCGCAAGTCTTTTGTCACCACGGGCGACTCTGCGCGGTGCGTCCGGCCCCGGGGCCCTCACGGATCGATCCGGCTCGGAAAGCGCAGCAGAGGGGTGGGGTGCAGAGCTCGGCCCCCGCGTTTTGCGATGCTGCAGTGCCTTCGTCACGTCGGGGCTCAGGGACGGACGGCTTCCCGTTGCCTCCGGCACCTGGAGAGCTCGTCTCGGGGCCGCGTCCAAGAGGGGGCGGGGACTTGGGGTGGGACAGCATTGCTAGGGCCATGAGATCTCCCTGCCATCGCGGCCCCATCTTCTTCTTCTTCTCCTTCTTCTTCTTCTTCTTCTTCCTCCTCTTCTTCATCTTTCAACCCGTCCCCTGGCCCCACCCCTTCCGCGCACATGCCACGGCCCATGATGCGATACCCCCTCCCCCCCTTCGTTCTGGCGGTGAAAATCGCCCCGGTGCGTTCCGGAGCGCTCTCGGGGCTTTCTGGAACGATCTGGAATGGCTGCGGCCCCCAAAACACACCCCAACAAGCCCACTAGCTTTCAGGCATCTCCGACCTGTCCTCATCTGGATCTGTCGTCATCCTAACTTCGACGTGGCCCTGGAGCCCCAGTGCTCCACGCCGTGAGCAAGGCGTAACGCCGGACCAGCGGGGAGGGGGCTGCGAGGGCAGGGGGGGCCCCCCTTCGTTTCTATGACCGTGGGGGCGTTGGTTGAGGAGTGTGCCCAGGAGGCTTCAGACCCTGGGGGCTTCTTTCTTTGAAAAGGGCGTCGGTGATATCCATTGCCAAGCCACAATCGAAGTTCCACTGGCTTCGAGACCCTGCGTCCCTCCTCATCCATTAGTTCCTCGCCCAGTGCCCTCACTGTATTCGGGGTCCCGGGTGTCTTTCTGGCCGCGGCGCCTCGTCGAGAGCTTGCA